TTTAGGGGTGTTGGGGGGGGGGTGTCAAAGGGGGTTGATTTTTTTTTTTCTTTTTTCAGGTTTGAGTGTTCAGGCACGTAGGCACACGTGTCCGAGGCCCAAAGCGAGAATTCCGTTTTTCGGAATTCAACGCCAAGCCCCCGTTTTTGCGTTAAACGGGATTTAACGGGGGTCCTGGGCCCGTTAAACAGATGAACGGCCGTTGAATTTCGCCCGTTCTCCATTCAAAAGATACACAGTCGGCTGGTAGGCAGCCGCCTGACAACGTGCCCAGCGTTCCATGTAGAAAAGTACAGAACAACAGTTGAAATGTTGGGGTCAGTACCCGGGTTGGGCTTGCGAAAGCACAGACATTTCTGAATAGACAGCAGAGGATCCAAAATGCAGGTGGACTGAGTGAGCAAGTGTTAGGCCTTGAGTGTCGGTGGAGAGGCACCATGGGGCACCACTGTATCCCTCTGGGCCGTCTCAAGCAGCGCTGCGGTGGGGATAATTGGTAGAAAGCGCCCACGCAAAAACCTGTTAGGTTTTGGGCGCACGAAACACCAATGCATCCGGTAGGGCCCTTGGGGCGACGCGTGGGCCTGTAGAACCCCATATGAAAAACATTGGGCCGGTAGTACCAAATGGACGAGTTTCAGGCGTCCAAAACCAAAACGGTTTTGGTGTGGGCGCTTTCTACCAATTACCCCGCTTCTGTGCCTTCCCTGCGAGACTTTCAGGTCAATCCAATGACAGTTTTGGAGCAGGTATTTGCAATAGAGTTACGGGTGGAGTTTCAAATGCAGTCTAGCTGCTTGCAAAAATGGTAAAAAGCCCCGTCGGGTGTGGCCGAGACATTTCTGTCGTGGGGCCAGTGTGGCCAAGGTGCGAGAAGGCCGGCGATCTGGCCGAAATCATTACCAGGCTCAAGCGGCACTACTCGCTTGCCCTCTTGCCCCTTTTTCCAGGGGCCTTCTAGGCCCTGACGCTCTTCACTTGCCGCGGGAAAGATGTTAGTCGTTCGAATGGCGAAAATTTTATGGGAAAAGTTATAGAACCTCCCCGCTGTCGGGCGGCCGCAGACCGGTCGGGCACCCGGAATAGAAGGAACTAGGGCTTCGACCGGGCGCTTAGACAGGATTCTTTGGGTATTCTTGTTGGAACTATTGGGGAAAATTAGGGCTCCAGAGTTGAACTCTGAGATCCCCTTTATCAACTGCCGATATTGACCCTCGAATCCTGAAGATTGGACAACCACTTCCACCACGCCTGATGCTCGCCCTTTTCGCCTGATTTGAGACTGTCTTCTAACCAGCCACCCATCGAGCTAGGATATGCTAGTAGGCCTTCGCGCGGACCAGTTGATGGGAAAATGAGGCCTCCGATTTTATTTAATTTAATGATGAAATTAAAAATAAAAGAAAAAAATAAAAACGATAAAAAGGAATAAAAACAGTTGATTATTTTATTATTTAACAAATTTTGCCGAAATACGTTTTTATTGGATTTAACCCCGATTTACCTGTTTAATTTTCCTCTCCGATTTAACCGGATATTGTCCATTTAATCTCCAACACTGATTTTTACCATAATTTATCTGAATTTTACCCTTGTTGTAATCGAGTATTATTGGGTGTGTGTTGCCCTTAACTTACCGGATTTCCATAGTATGCTTGAACATCAGAAACTTACCATTCAATAGTCTTTATTCTGACACTTCGGAGAGGTCGGTAAACTCGATGGTTACATCGACAGTCGAATCGGTGGACGGGTGGCTGACCAGGCCTAGGACCGGTGCGCTATGTGACACCCGCGGCCTAGGCCGCGGGCAATTTCGCCGTCGCGGCCGAAAAAGTCGGCCGCTTTCGTGGCCGCCAGGCCTAGTTTGCGGACCGATATTTTGGATATTTTTTGGGGGGTCGAAAAATAAGTGAACACCACCCCCCACCCCCCACCCCTCCTTTCTTTTTTATTTGACTTCATTTAGGATTTAAAAAAAAAAAAAAA